CAGCAGCAGCAGCAGCAGCAGCATCAGCAGCATCAGCAGCAACGTGGCCCGATAACGAACGACGATTTCAATCCGAATATCGAGGAGGAGGCGAGCGACAGTGCTCAGGGCAGAGCGATTCTCAAAATTCCGTCCTACAAGCCGGCGAGCACGCCCGGATGTTCAAGCAAAAACGGCGAGCCAACGTCGGCCGCGTTCGCGCAGGGATTCGCAGCGGCGACCGCAGCCTCGAGTCCAGGACTTCTGGAACGGGCGAGCCCCGCGTTCTCCGGCACCAGCAGCCCGACCAATTCCCTGGTAGGGAAAACCGTGGCCGTGAACTTCCGCGACGTGATCGCGAAAAGCATCAGCGTAAAATTTCAAGAGGGTCAGACGGTGGCGACCGCTGGAATGCCCGGATGCCAGCCGAGCGGGGTGGTGCAGTCGCAGCAGACGATAATGGCGGACCCGAGCCCGTTCAAACGAGGTAGATACACGCCGCCTCAACCTGCGACGCAACAAGCTCAGACGCAGGCGAAACCGCAGACTCAGGAGGCGAACAAACCGAAGCCAGCTACCGGTGGCAAAGGAACCAGACCGAAACGCGGCAAGTACAGGAACTACGACAGGGACAGTTTGGTCGAGGCTGTGCGCGCTGTCCAGCGGGGCGAAATGAGCGTGCATCGCGCAGGCAGCTACTACGGAGTGCCACACTCCACTCTCGAGTACAAAGTTAAAGAGCGGCACCTGATGAGGCCAAGGAAGAGGTACGTTCCTCTGATAATATTTCAAATTCCAAATTCCAAATTCCAATTCTGACAATACGAGCCGTCAATGTATATAAAGACGAATAATTGAGTTGCTTGAATTACTTATCTTCCGAGGTGACTCTAATCTCGGTGACATTCTTTTCTACGTTTCTTTACCGATTTCCTCCGTTTACGTTTCCAGGGACCAGAAGCAGTCGGACGACAAGACGAAGGAGACTTCGGCGGTGACAGCGGCGGCAGCGGCCGCGAACATACGACCAGGCACGGCGGACAAGAAGCCACAGTTAAAACCACAGAAACCGTTCACGTCACCGGGCGGTATGCCAGGGCCCAACGGAATCAAAATGCCGCCGTTCATCGAGGGTATGCCTCATTTGCCGTTCACGCCGTTCAATTTCTGGAGTCCGCCGCCGTTCATGCCATCGCCGTTCATGGCGGGTGCACCGAACGTTCCAACGATTCTGCCGGAGCAATACTTCGCCACGAGTAGGATCCGCGGCTTGCAGGAACAACAAAGGAACGCGGCTA